GCCCGGGGGGCTGGGTGGGCACGGGGCCTCTGCCAGCCACCACCGCAGCCTAACTCTGCCCTGTCCCTAGGCACAACAATGAGAAGACCTTCCTGATCTGGATCAACGAGGAGGACCACACACGCGTCATCTCCATGGAGAAGGGTGGCAACATGAAGCGCGTCTTTGAGCGGTTCTGTCGGGGCCTGAAGGAGGTGAGGACCCGCCAGCCCCCACTGCGAGGGCTGCTGTGGGGCTGGCCCCATGCACGCAGCCAGGGCTGGGCACGGTGCTGTCGTGCAGAGGCCTGGGCACCCCATGGCCAGGGACTGAATGGCTGCTTGTGCCTCCAACCCAGGTGGAGCGGCTAATCCAGGAGCGAGGCTGGGAGTTCATGTGGAATGAGCGGCTGGGGTACATCCTGACCTGTCCCTCCAACCTGGGCACTGGGCTGCGAGCAGGCGTCCACATCAAGCTGCCGCTGCTCAGCAAGGTATTACCATGGCTGGTCTTGTGGGGAGCCAAGCCAGGGCTGTGGGGAGCCCCGGCTGCCAGGGTGCAGGGAGCCCAGCCACACGGGAAGTGCAGGACTGCACGGGACCCGGACCCGGACCTCACTCAGGTTCCCCCAGGCAGTGGAGCGTACGGTCCAGCCCATGCCTGCATCCATGGCTGGAGGGGATGGGGACCCAGGTGTCAACCTGGGTCTGCTCAGGGCAGGGCTCCCTGCAGGGATTACCAGCCCACTGATGGGGTCCTGTGAGCAGTGGGAGGGCTGCCCCAGGGCTTCAAAGCCCCAACTCCCTTGCTGATGGTCCCGCTGAGCACTGACACCTTCTCTGGGCACCAGGATAGCCGCTTCCCTAAGATCCTGGAGAACCTCCGGCTACAGAAGCGTGGGACAGGTGGTGTGGACACCGCAGCTACTCAGAGGTGGGTGCCGGGCAGAGCTGCTTTTGTTTAGGGAGGTTCTGGAGTGTGTGTGTGTGACAGGCCCATGGTGCCCAAACAGCTCCAGGGCTGTGTGCTGGGGCCAGCGCGTGGGGACTGGGGGTGGCAGCGCCTGCCCTTCATGCAGTGGGGCCGGGTGGGTGCCTTGCTAGCATGGCTCCCAGGACAGCCCCTGACTCAGGACGTGTGTGCTCCTGGTGCAGGTGGAGCTGGTGCAGCTGGTGATAGACGGTGTGAACTACCTGATTGACTGTGAGCGGCGGCTGGAGAAGGGGCAGGACATCCGCATCCCCTCCCCGGTGCCGCAGTTCCGGCACTGAGCTGGACCAAGGCAGCACCAGCCTCATGGGACACAGCTCCTCCCGTAGCTTACATGATCTCTGTGCGTCCTGTTACCCGCAACGCGCCAGGCCAGACCCCATAAACATGCACTGCTGTAGCCATGGCTCGGTCTCCTCCTTACCCCAGCACCCGCCACCCCACTGGTGTCCCCAGCACCCCGTGCCCCTGCAGAGGTGCACCCACCCAGGTCTGGGTTTCCTGCACCTGCCCTGAGCAGCCCTCCCCGGGATTTCCCTGAGCCACTGCTGCCCTGGGGAGCAGGCCTGGGGGGGCCACTGGGGCTGCCCTGGTCTGGGGGGCCGCAAGGGACCGCATGTGGGTAGGGAACCAGGGCTGGGGGGCAGCTTGCTGCAGTGCCAGGAGCTGCAGGGACAGTCAGGGCTGGGCAGGGAAAGCTGCTCTGGGACGACGTGTTGCTGCAGGCAGGCAGGGAGCAGAGCTCATTGCTTGTGCCCATCACAAGTTTATTCCTGGGATGCTCACAGAAAGCAGCGGGGTAGGCAGAGGAGGAGAGCCAAGGTGAAGTCAGACTGGG